ACAGCTACAAGCATTTCACCCCCATGTCATACTGTGTATGGTTGTGTGTGTGTGACAAATAAAATTTGAATTTGAAATTTAATAAAGACTCACCATTAAGCATTAGTAAGGTATTAGTAAGTGTTTCAGTCATCATTCATAAAACATTATAAAGCATTACTCCTCCTTTATAAAAAACTGATATAAATGTTTATTCTTGATTAATAGGTTCATGTATCATGCATATATAATATATAACTGTGATCAAAGTATTTACATGTATACTATTAAGTTTACATGCACTATTAAGATTAAGGTATGAGCTCATTTTTTGTGAATTTATTAATAGAGAATTTTATAAAAACTTATTTGATTATTATTTTATGTACTTTTTTTAAAAAATTCATAGTTAATTCAGGCAATTACTGATAGTCATTTAACCATTTTGTGTGACTTCATCTAAATTGATTATTATGTTTACCTTATAAAGCATTTATTAATGAAAATCAATTAAGCTCACAAAGTCTTGGTTATCTTCACAACAGAAAAATGACAGACAAATCAAAAAGAGATACAAAACATACCAATATTTATTGCCAGGTGTAACTGTCAACCCCCAGAGATTTGCAGAAGATTGCAACGTAAGTTGGAACAGCGTCTAAGATGGTAAGAGGGGTTTAAGACAGAAAGAGAAGTTGGAGCTACAGGATATCTTACCTTTAAAATACTGAAGCTTCTTCATTTAAAATAAAATATGAATGAGATTATCACAAAAGTAAATGTTTCACAGAGCCTCACGAACAGTTGTAAACACTATAAACAAAATGCCCATTATATTAAGCCAATAAGCAGGAAAATGTCTCTGGGATGTTTTTAATTACTTTAGTGTATTCCTAAAGTTCAACTTTCCTCAGGCCTGTAGTCTGTTACTGAGCTTTAGTAAGATAACTCAGCACCCACTCAGGTTCAGGTCCAAAATGCTCCTGAATTAGTCAAAATAATAAGAGTGATGTTGTTCTTTCACACATGTAAAGTCAGCTTAAATAAACAAATTACAAGACACTTTGGAGCTGAATATAACTTTATAAATTACATAATAAGGAGGAGCAATACTTTATAAGTAATAAATAAAGCACTTACTAACACCTAGTTTATAGTGTGTAATTATTATAAAGTGTTATCAAATGATGTTGCTTGAATGGATGTTTGTCTATACACACTTTAGTCTTTCTCAGACCTTTTTTGTTACAAAGAGGGAGGGTTTGGGCCTCATAGTTTTTTTTCTCTTTTCTGCCTTGTTTCCAATAAAATACTCACCTGGTTTTTATTTCCTCTTCAACGAGTGGCTCATATATTTTTGACTTTGAGTTCTGAGCTGTATTTGTTTGAAAGCAGCACACAAAGCAGCCCAGCTAGTGGATAACTGCTTGTATACTGGTGAGTTTTTATTATATTTTAATGTTAATACCATTTAACAAATTAACATCTCTGAATAACTTTGAAAACCTTTAACACCTTCTTGTTTATCTTTAAGCTCTGCATTTAAACAATGATGGCATGGCTCCAATTTTGTATCCTTTTCCTGGTGGCTCCAATTGGGTACAGTCAGAATCCAGGTCCTCGTGGTCCCAAAGGAGACAGCGGACTTCCTGGACCAGCTGGTCCACCTGGAGTAGCAGGACCAGTAGGTCAAAAAGGTGAGCAATAATCCTACAAACCACAAGACTACTGACCAGATACTATTTATATTTTATCTAAAGCTTGTTACAATTCTTTTGTATAGCCAAATAAGTTTTCATGATGTATCAACAGAGGCTTATGCTACAAAGTATGAATGGCAGTGACACTGAATGAGCATTTTATGACATCAGAGAGTGGAGGCTCAATATATTTATACTTCTATATACACTTTATACTTAGATATATGGTTAAGTGTATTAAATATGGTCTTTTTTTGGTGCTGACGTAAAGCTAAAATTCCCATTTGAGTAGTGATTAATTAATAATAAGGTATTTAACTGCTTTTTAGCTCCGTATAACCAGTTTCCTAACGTTGTGAGAGAATTTTTCCTCTTTGGGCTGTGAGTGAATATCTGAACATATGGGGCTACACCTGATACTTCCATACCTGCTTTAAAGGAGATACTGGAGTTAATGGACCACATGGATATCCTGGACCACCTGGATCAGCTGGACCTCGTGGACCACCTGGATTTCCTGGAAAATCTGGAAAAGATTCTGACTGCAGAACAGGTGAAAATAATTTTTTATTAGTTTCATTAGTTATTAAGTTTTATTTTTCATTTTTGCACACAAGGGCAGCACCAACCACTTTCTTTGCTATGAAACATTCCCATAGAAGCATTCAGTATCCTTAACCATTGTAACTTTCTTTCTTTCAGTCCAACCACTCGTTGTATCTATTTGTTGTAAATGCCGTGCAGGGGGCTGTACTCCCATGATGTTTCCTCTTCTTGCTCCTCTTCTGCCTGAGATATTCACTAAGCACATAATTGGTTGTGGCCATGTTTTTGATGTACTCATGGATCTTTGTCTTCTCCTGGACAGTGGTTCTCACTAGTCCTTGATTTCCTTGCTTCCACTTGAGTATAGAGTCTCTGGGTGTTGGACTTGAGGGGAAACCAACACAAGTACTAAAATCAAGGACTATGCCAAATAAAAATCTATTGAGGCAAGCATGAGTGTAGTAGGACTTGCACTAGGCATATCAATGGCAGTGATAGTAGCTGACTCTGACGATTGAATGGACTGGCAGGAGCAAAAGTAAAAACAACCTCTGTTAAATTTGATGCAGAATTTTAAATGTAATTTATACAAATTACTTTTACCATTTTAATCAGTAGGGTTTATTAATATCAAATTTTTGTTTTATATAGTGTCACTACTCACAGCAGTCCTCTTGGCACTTCACTGCATACACTATATTACTCTGTTTATGCTGGGGTACCTGATCCTTGGTTTAGAACGATATTTAGTGTAATGTGTTTTGGAATGTGAAAGACACAGAAATGTGGTATTTGAGAAAAAGTGCATCTTAGCTATAATTTTAATTGATTACTCGTGCTGTCAGCGTTAATCTCGTTAAAATGGCCTTCACGCCATAACCGCATTAACTTGACAAATCTCTGTTAGTGAGTTAACGCAGATTGCCCCGTGTGAGGGGCTGATGGCACTAACGCGTTAACGAGCTAACTGCGCTAATGAGCTAACCGCGCTAACGTGTTGACGCCGTGCATGATTAGAGATTTGAAGCTCAAAAGAGAAAAACTAGCTTTTATTTAATAACAGTTTGCAATTTTAAACATACACAAAGAAATGTTGGTCCCAAATGACTACAACACTGATAATTTTATCTGTTTGATCTAGAGCTCTTTGGTTACATAGACCAGGACCTTCAAACCATTAGAGCCCTAAAGGAAACAATAACCAAGTTAGAGCTGGGTAAGTGTCATCAGCAGCAAAAGGACATAGGTTTTACAGTAACTCCATCATTAATAACTCTGGGGGGTTTCCTTGTTTGCTTTTAAAATGTCAATTATCTTTCAGATTATTATTTAACATAATAATTTGAACTTTGAGCAATAAAGCTAAATGGGAGGATACATGGTGTGTAATGACTAGACGAAACCTTTTTTCTGCTGGTTTCTTTAAAATAAAAGTAATTCATTCCAATTTCTCTTTCTATGCTGCTTTCTTTTTCAGTTATAAACTACGATTTTGCCCGAGGAGTTGATGGAAAATATTTTGTGTCCAACAAGGAAAGAGGCTCTTTCTTCCAAGCTGTTGAGTTCTGCTCCCGGAGAGGATTAGAGCTGGCTTTGCCCCAGAGTGATAAAGAGAATAGCTTACTCACTGAAGTGTTTGAAAACAGTCCTAAAACAGTCTGGATTAATGTCAGCAATAGAAGAGCAGAGGGAAACTTTGGAGCTGATATGAAAAACCGACCTCTGACCTTTACCAGCTGGGCAGAAGGGCAGCCAGACAAATCCATCCAGGATCCAGGCTGCACCACGCTGTCAGAAGATGGTGTTTGGAGAGTGACAAGTGAATGCTCTATGAATGCTTACATTGTTTGTCAGTTATAGAAATACCTTTGATGACATGAAGTAAAGTATAACTCTTTGGATTCTGGTGTGAGGAAATCAAATGGAGTACAAATATGTAATCACACATCTATCTGGCGCAATTTTCCTATTCCTATAAATCAGGTCAAAACATTCTTTCAAATCTTTTATTACATTTTTAGGTAAAATGAAAAGTTCTTTCGAGACCTGCAGTATTTAGTAACCATTCACCATACAGTAGCCATATTTATATTCATCCAGCAGAGTGAGAAGTCGTGGAGGGTGTTCTGGTTCGGTGGCCCCAGGATCTCATCTCTGCTTTATTTGCATGACTTGATCAAACAACAAACTTGTTAGTGAGTGTGACATGGCTGGAATGAGAATTAGCAGCTCAAAGTCTGAGGCCAGTCTGTGGCTTGTTTTCAGATTTAAATGTATTGATTTTTTCAGCTTCCAAATGAATAAGCAGCTTGTAACCTGGAATGCAGCAGCAGTACATTATCATTTTGATTAAATCATTTCACCTTCATTACCTGAGCATGATTGTATCAATTTGTACATTGCACTTACTAAGATTAAAATCATACATATGTTTCACTAGATAAATGCTTTATAACCACAGTTTTATCATGAGAGAAATACTCAGACATGTAAAATGTTTAAATGTGGATGATGGATTTGCAGGCAGATGTTAAAGAAATTTTAAGGTAAGTAAAATTTTACTTTCAAATAACTCTGTCATGTTCCTGGGTCTGTTGACCCAGTGTTTTAAGTTTTAGTTTTGGATGTTGTTTATGTTTAAGTTCATTAGATTAGCGAAGTTCATTTGGTTATTAGACTCCTTGTGTTTTCTTCCCCTGTATTTAAGTTTCCCTCACCCTTTGTGTTTTATGCTGCATGTCTTATGTTATCAAGTCTGTATTATCATGTCTGTCTCATGTTTCCTGTTTTATTTTGAAGGACTTGTGTGTTCTTTGTTAATTGTATTTAGTTTCACTTCCTTTGTCCTGTCATTAGGCTCATGTCAGTCAGCTGTTCCTCCATGTGTTCCCACTTCCCCTAATCACCTCCTGTGTATTTAAGTCCTCTGTTTTCAGGGTGTCATTGTCAGGTCATCTGTTGTCCTTTGTGTCATGTTTCCAGGTTCTGTGCTCTAGGTATTTTTGTGTCCATGTTAGGGTTCATGTTTTGGGTTTCTATGTTATCATAGCTCTCCCAGTTTAGGTTATTGTTTAGCTTCTCCTCTGCCTTTTGTTTTGTAATGTTTTCACCAGCCTTAATAAACGGCTCGCTTTCTGTTAACATTTAAGTTTTGTTTCATGGTATCTGCATTTTGGGTCCTTTTCATAATACATACAGTCTGCCTCTGCCAGACTGTGACAAACACTTCTACTAAAGCAATGCCTTTGTGCTAGTCAATTTTGTTATGACCAATAGTGGATTTGTGTCTGATGTTATTCTCATACAGTTGAGCAAATATTTTGTACTACCACATGTAAGAAATGTTACTATTTTGGTAGTAACATCCAGGCATAAACTATGTGAATCTTCTTGTCTTTAAGTTTTTATATAAGTAATTTGTGCATAGATAAAAAATAATTTAATATTTTAAAAATATATTATATGATGATTTTGGTGGATTATCTGTCTGCACTATCCGTTTTAAGTAAATTTAAATTTAATACTTTTAAAATAACAGGTTCCTTTTAAAGAAAACATTTGTAAAGCCTGACATTTGTTTGTAATAATGGTCAAAGCTTTTTATAGCATTTTTTCTGTATGTGTAATCTACAGATTAAAAAATAATTCAAGAGAATAACCACTGTAAGCGTTGAATCTACTTTTAAAATTTGGTTATCACATAATTTTCTTACACTGAACGAGAATAAGACCAAAGTCATAGTTTTTGATAGTCACACTCCGCCAGACCAGTTAGCTGATGCCCTCGGTCTGCTCGCAAGCCATCTCTCGCTCAATGTAAGAAACCTCGGAGTATTACTGGAAAGCTCTTTTAAACTAGAGAAACAGGTCTCCACTGTGGTAAAAACAGCTTTTACCAGTTGTGCCAGATATCTAAAGCAAAGCTGTTCCTTCCTCTAAAGGACCATGAAAAGCTTATCCACGCATTTATCACGTCCAGACTGGACTACAGTAACTCTCTCTACTTGGGCCTCCAACACTCTTCTCTTTACCGGCTTCAGTTAGTTAAAAATGCAGCTGCGCATCTCTTAACAGGTACTAGAATCTATCATCACATCACACATCTCACATCACATTTAATTAAATTAATTGCTGATTTTGTATATGCTAAGCAAAAAACTAAAATAAACCAAGACAAACAACAACCTCAAAAAGGATTGTTAGGTGACCTTCCTAAAACTGCAAAACCTTATGCATGTTAGGTCTATGCCACGAGCTCGTGTGTGTGTGTGTGTGTGTGTCTCTCTATCTATCTGTATATATGTGTGTGTCTGTTTGATCCAGATCTCATTGGTTCCATGGACCAGGACCATCAAACCATTACATCCTTAAAAGAAAGCATATCTAAGTGATATAAGTTATTTTAGGCAGCACGGTGGCACGGTGGTTAGCACTGTTGCCGCACAGCAAGAAGGTCCTGAGTTTAATTCCACCATCAGGCCGGGGTCTTTCTGTGTGGAGTTTGCATGTTCTCCCCGTGTTTGCGTGGGTTCCCTCCGGGTACTCCGGCTTCCTCCCACCGTCCAAAGACATGCAGCTT